CTTTCATCTAATAAAAATTGAGAATATAAAGAAATTTGGTGAAAAAAGCACAATCATCAATAGAGGGCTGTTTGAAATATATGTGTAACTTTATTATAGAATCTAAAAAAAATCTAAAATTTCAGCATGCAAGCAACACACGCACACGCACGCGCACGCGCACGCACACACACACATATCAAAATTCAACACTCTTTTTTACATAAAATATTTCTGCGCAATGAAATTTATGTGAGCGAAAATCTTTACTAGTTTTATTTACATATTTCTGCGTTACCGACAAGATCATAAATGGAAGGAAATTTTGAAAGTTTCAATTAAAATCAAACGGGGCTCGAATATTTTAGCTTGAGCAATCTGCATCGGGCACAGATCATCACAAAGAAAATATGTATTAAATAGATTTTTTTATAGCTTTGTTGCCTAGATTGCCAAAAACTAGTTATCAATTTACAGAATGCGCATGCTTGATGCCAGTAAACATTTACTTTTGGACTTTGAAATTATTCTTATCTTTTCGTTACTCATAATAGATATTCAAAGATATTTAAAACTAAAAATTTTGAATATTAAACCAATAATGAGACTCTGTGAAAACATAAATCTGGTTTCCTTACATGAATTCCACGATTCTTTGAAACAACCCTCTTGTAATGATATATAAAAAATATTATTCGAAAAGCAACAGGAATAGAAACATAGGATAGCTATTGAATTTAATGAACTACTACTAAAATAAATGTGAATCTTGAAATATCACCTGTCGTGGTTCCATTTGTGTTGTTCAATTTCTCTGAAAAATATTTAAATTGAGATTTTCAGATACAGCTAAGATCGAGTTGCACTAAGATGGCAAATATTAGGGGCGGATACAGAACAGGGTTTTCTGGGGAGGGGAGGGGAGCTGACATAGGGGTGAAAGATTTTTGACATAAACAAAAGATATACAAATGCAACATGCGAAAATTGTGCATGTTTGTAGATTGGGCCAGCATCTTATTCATGTGACTAAAATTGTAATTGATGAGTTTTATAGCTCATCTTATGACTGGCAATGCACTTTTTCTTATATATGTATATACTTCTGTTTTTGTAAATATTTAGAGGAATATTAATTATTATACTGGAATTTAGAAAAATGTATAGCTTGGGGTGGGCGTTGGAGGGGTGTCCCCTCCCATAGACTAATAAAATTTTAAAATATGAGGTTGAAAATAGTGTTATTTCCTTGACTTTCTAGTGGTGTTTATGATACCTTTTGGATAATTAATTTCACTTTGTATTTTGTATAGGTTAGTGTTTGCAGGGTCTTTCAAATAGCATTCCTCTGGTGTTTTGTAGTAAGCATTTACAAAATAACAGCACACTTACCAATGTATGCGCGACCGTTGATAAAATTAAATTCAAACACTAGATCAACTCATCTGAATAATAGACAATTTTCATAATTAATTGTTCTTAAATTACTGCTTTTCTATTTTACATTTTTTTTCAAACACTAATATTCGATAAGATTTTTTTTTATCAATGAATCCCCAAGATATTATAACTAAAGAGGTCAGTACAATTTAAATTTTATTTAAAAATGTAACTGCCATAAAAAGATATTAAAAGCAAATGACCAATCATTTAATCTTGATAAAAATCTTACGAAAACTAGTAATACAATCAATTATGCAGTCAATAACTTGCTAACAGTTTGTCACGTACGCTAGTCGGCAACGTCCTCTGAAGTCTTGTTAAGACTGCCCTTTTATTTTGATTGTCACCTCTAGCGCCAAAAATATGTTGATGCCTGTCAATCAAGTTGTCACGAGGCTTTTTCTACATGTACAGTTCAAACAAATGGCTATATATCGAAACACATTTTAATTTATTGGAAGATGAAGGTATTTATGAAAGCCGCATTTTTTATCAGTACAGGGTATTAATGATATCACTGTGTCGCAACTTCATACTATTGACACACAACAACTTTATGACGATGGAAACAACTCGAAAAAACAAAACTGGAAAAAATGGCAATGGGCCTATGCAAGGTATTCTTGAAATTCCTATTTAAAGCGTAATAAGTAATTTTCCAAGTAAAAGTGCCATCAGTTTGAATAATTACATTTAAAGTAAGTAAAAATTGTGCAATAAAGACGTTTTGATTGAGAGAATTTTTATTTATGCGCACCTTAATGGATCCCTACAATCACATGTTACATTTCTTTTTCAGCCAAATTCAGGTCGATCTGAGAAGCGTCTGTCAAGGACTGACATTAAAATGAAACAACAGATGCTGTACCTGAGAACATTACAGGCGATAATTGCGAAAATGTGTGGAAAATCGCAAAATGCAACCCAATTGTTATTGAAATCTAACCCAATAAAAGACAATCGTTGTTCATTTTATTTGATATTTTTCTTACGAAATAATGTATTTTTGTGTTTTCGTCGCTGAATTAGTTTTATTAAATTTTCACAATGTTTTCTCGTTTTGTTTTCAGTTTATACTGCCCTTATATTATTCAAGCTATTTTGCATAACTCCGCCCACTTACCACATGTCTCGCGCTGTCCATATCAGATAAAATAAGTCACTTATTTTTATACAGATTATTTCATCGGATGCATTTTACAAATTTGAACTGAAAATGGCCTCTCTGATTGGATAAGAAACTAGGGAAAATTGTAAAGATCTCTGCCAAGCCACAGGCAGGAGATTAACAACTGGATGACAGCAATAAATGTTTTGACAAGGGAGTACACTACAGCCAATAAAGTTTGAAACTGACAAAAATGTATTCTAGCCAAGCTGGTAAACATATCTTTGGGCCGAGCTAGGAGGGGGGGGGGGGGGTGTGCAGCCCTTAAGCCCGGGCCTGAATCCGCCACTTGACTAAGTCTAAGAAGTATAACAAACTATCGATCACTTTATTATTGAGTTACTGACAAATGTCCTTTGTAAATAATGCTCACTATTTTATCAAATATACTTTTCACAAGATACTGTATTTGAATTAACATACTCAATCAAGCTAAGCCTGCAAGGCATTCATCTTTACCGTTTTGGACGTTTTTAAGGAATAACATTATCTGTCATATGTTGCGTTTGAGATCGGAATATGCGTCCCGAGGGAACCTCGCCCCATTGTGCGGGTTCCCGTGGGACGGGTATTCCGATCCAAACCGCAAACATATGTCAGATAATTTTTCTTGCATATTCTGTCATATTATTTCATATCTATAATGGTTTATCTCAATAAGATATGTGTTCATGGAAAATAAAATTTTATGTCATTTCATCTCTAACTATTTTCTGACAATAGCTTTTAAATTTACAATTTTAAAGATCCTGTATGTTGTGATCAAAGTGGTATATCAAAGTTTAATAAGGTAAACCACACTAAGTGAAAATACATACATGTATATAATTATGCAAATTAAACAATTTTCAAACAAAGAAGAATATGTAAAATATGTACTACGAATATTTGTTCATATTATATGTTATCATTAAAATATATGAATCCATTTCTTATTGTAAACTTTGAATCTTTATAGGAATTTTTTATTACCTCCCTTTCTTTACATGAAATGTTAAATTCGGTAATATCTTTGTAAATAATGCTTTTTGGAACCTACAATATTGATAAATCTTAATTTGAGCATCATATTTATGATTTAAAACCATAAAATAATGTGTTACAGGATCTTTAATAACAACGGCAAAATGTCGTTATCCTGAGCACATATATCTCTTCTAAAATGGCGTAATTTTAACGCGGTTCATTTATAAAATGCGCCAAAATGACTAGTTGTATGGTACGCAACTCATCTGGCACTCCAATTCCAGATGAAAATTCCTGTATGAGTAAAACTCACGGAAACGCCAGCCTGCTATGCAAGAATGAGTTATCTTTATTTAATTCAAAAGGGAGATTTTTTTCTTCAGGATATGCTTTTTATTTTTGTACATAACTATACACATATAAGCATTTGCAATGTAGACAAACTAAGTATTTTATTCCAAACGTTTGAAAGGTAGATTCTTATACACTTTCTTGTCTAAATAAGAGAAATCAATATGGTTACTTTTACACTTGTTGTAAACATTAAATAGAATACTTTTTTGTAACAAATTTCATATATGTAAAAACAAGAGGGCCATGATGGCCCTGAAGTCGCTCACCTGTATATAGGCCCCCGTAGTGGGGCCAGTTTAAACCCCAGGGCTTGAACAAACTTGGTAGACACCCATTAGAAGATGTTTCATGCTAAACATCTAAGGTCTAGCTGGTCAAGTTTTTCCTTTACACATATAGTTTAAAACAATGACACACCTGGGGCAGGGCCAGTTTGGACCCAATGGCTTTTATTTGAACAATCTTTGTAGACACTTACTAGAAAATGTTTCATGCTAAATATCTGAACTCTAGCTATTCGGATTTTTCAAAGAAGATTTTTAAATTTTTGCTATACACATATAAGGAAAATCAATGTCCCCTGGGGCGGGGCCAATTTTGACCCCAGGGCTTTTATTTGAACAAACTTTGTAGACACTCACTAGAAGATGCTTCGTGCTTAATATCTAAACTCTAGCTATTTGAGTTTTTTTCAAAGAAGATATTTTAAGTTTTTGTTATACACATATAAGGAAAATCAATGACCCCCAGGGCGGGGCAAATTTTGACCCCAGGGCTTTTATTTGAACAAACTTGGTAGATACTCACTAGAAGATGTTTCATGCTAAATATCTTAGCTCTAGCTCTTTGGGTTCTTTAAAAGAAGATTTTTAAGTTTTTACTATATGCATATAGGGAAAATCAATGACCCCCTGGGGCGGGGCCAATTTTGACCCCAGGGCTTTTATTTGAACAAACTTGGTAGACACCCATTAGAAGATGTTTCACGCTAAATTTCTTAGCTCTAGCTCTTTGGGTTCTTTAAAAGAAGATTTTTAAGTTTTTACTATATGCATATAGGGAAAATCAATGACCCCCTGGGGCGGGGCCATTTTGACCCCAGGGCTTTTATTTGAACAAACTTGGTAGACACTCACTAGAAGATGTTTCATGCCAAATATCTAAGCTCTAGCTCTTTGGGTTTTTTAGAAGAAGATATTTAAAGTTTTTTCTTTTGCCATGGCAACCAGAGTTTTGCATGGAATTAAATTCTTTGAACAATTTTCAAAGGTGACCACCAAAGGAACATTCCTGTGAAATTTGGATGAAATTGGCTAAGTGGTTTATGAGGAGATGTCATTTAAAGTAAAAGTTTACGGACGACGGACGGACGACGGACGGAGACATCTTATCTTTTGGTGTTTATGACACGTAATTGGTAACAACATTAAAAAAAAATTTAACATTAAAAAGACATTTGACAGAAATATTATTAACTATATTGAGCGCAGGTGTTGTTTACCTGACGTCATTTAGTTTTTTGTCGTTATATCTGAAGTCATGTGACGTGTTAGCATTCCTTTTTCATGCTGTACATTTTAAAATCGTGTATAAATAAATATTTTATAATATCAAATAACAAAATTTAGGATATTCTAATGGCGATAAAATGAAATATTGAAAAATACTTATTGAAAGCTATTTACATTGACGGAATAAAATTTATAGAATACACAAGTGTAATTTTATGATTTCCATAGTCACTGATCGAAAATTTATTATTACAATTCTAAAATCGAACTATATACACTATAATGATAAGTTTAGGCAGGCGTCATATTTTAAATTTATCAAATTTAACCATTCATATACTTATTCATTTGACGTAAAATCCACTTGATTTTCTATGTTTATATGCATGACGTTTTTCTATAAATAATCACTTATTTGTCAATGGGGCCAGGCGATTTTGTTTGTTTTGTATTTGTTTTATATTTGTTTATATTATGCATGTATCGCAAGTATCTATAATAATAAAAAAAACATCTTCGTTTTCTCTTCTTTCTTCAGTGTGTTAAAAGAGGAATTGTTGGAGTTGAATTTCAGACAAGGAATAAGCAATTAAATTCTGACATCAGTAAGTAACTCACCTATACAATACGCCTGAGGACACCCCGGAAGCGGCAAAAGTTTGAAGACATATTTTTCGTCGGAACATTTGATCACTTTTCCTGTTTCTTCTAGGCCACATTCTCCGTTGCCAGTATTAAGACAATAATTCATATTCTTCTCTTTGCCAATTTCTTCCGGAAGAGCATCTAAAAATAATTAAGGATATAGTTTAGTAGGAATCTTACATACTTAACCCATTACTTCATGAGCATTTTGTGAAAAATAACTATTTTCATTGAAAAGTCTCCCGTTACAAGTCCAAATTGCTATTTAACTATACCAATGCTTCAATACTAATAAAATTGGCACAAATCTTGACTGGACCATTTCCTTTGTAACAAAATGCTCAGGCTTAAATTTTCTCTTACCATGGCAACGAGGGGACATCTCAAAATGACCAAAAATCACTATTTTTTTCCATCAAAATTGATTTAAAAGTGCTACAACTTCTCAGTGGATTGAGACAGAGTCAAATGTTTTTCACCGTTGATTACACGTTACCTTATGATCGATCTGGGGTAATTTTAAGCCTCTCACAAAATTTTCTTGGCACATCCCCCTTCTGGCAACCCCCTGATGTATCTTTTGGTTGGGGAACTGCGCCGAAAAAGACGTCACTTTTTATCAACATTTCTCAAACGAAAACATGTGTTTGGGTCCCAAAGAGGACATTTTTTCACTATTTGAGGCCTAAAAAAAAGGGGGGGGGGGTCCAAAGTGCGTTGTTTTTCGTATATATGAGGTAAAGGGTTAAAACCAGGCCAGTATTCCCTGTGCGAATCAATGATTTTACAAAACTGATTATACACAATTATTTTACTTATATAATATTTCATACGCATTTGTCTTACCCTTGCGGTACCAGTTTATATCAGTGCCACAATTTCCATCCGTTGATGCTATAACATTGTCATACATCTTGTACCATCCTTTGTAGAAATACTGATCACATATAGGATTTTCTCCATCTGCAAGTTTATAACCAACAACACGTTGTCTTAAAAAAGGAAGTTCGCGAGTTTCGCTGCTGTTACATGGATCATCAATAGGCTGAAATGTGTTTCCTGGAAATGAAAATATTGAAGACCGATTCTTAATATATCGTTACGTGTCTTTCTAAAGCGTACATACTGTCTATTAATTTGCGTGACTAATAGTGTTTACATCCAAGTTCGCGAATAAGAAAATCTTTGTCATGTATGAATCACTTTTTTTGCTTCGTATTATATTCCAATTTTATTTATGTAAACGAATTTTATTGAAAACAAATTAGAAATCTTTTATTTTAAACGTGATTGCTACGTTTATTTTGTTACTTACTGAGAAAACTTATTTTAAACATGGCCAAAAACAGCACAATAATCTTTGTACCGGTAGTCTGACCATAGAAAGCTGCTTTATGTGCTTATTACAGACGCTCTGATTTATTAGAAGACATTTAAAAGTTAAATTAAATGCTATTATAATCATATCGACCAGAAAAACGAATGCCAGTGCTTGAGAGATATAAGGTTAAACGCGTGTAACATCTAGCAAAGACGGATTTGAGCATTTTACTCATAAACATACAATTCATTTTTACTTGCTAGTTTTCCGCAGATCGGTATCATTATTTTATCTCAAAAGGCGGGTACCTGGCGAATGATATAGGACCTTTCCAGGTTCCTTCTGTGTATACTGTTAGAACCTTTCCTTTGAGAAGATATCGTGATAATGATTTCATTCGTGTCAATTTTGCTGCAGATTTCAGTGCAGATTTACTATTGAATGATAGGCTATGACACAGTTATGTGTCATGTGTACCGTGGAAATCAAGAACGTTTAGACAACGATCATGGAAACATAGTTTGACACATGCTCGCGCTGATCATTTCATGTGTTTCTAACAGAGCGCAATTTAACAATCATTTTACTGATAGAAACCCTTTTGGAGTATTGGCTTGTTATAATGACCAATCAGGCTTACTTAACCACTAGTCATTCTGGCAAATCAGTGTAATAATAAAATAACAATTCTTTACAGACTACATTCTGAATTTAAACATTATGACATGGAATATTACAGGTTTAATATTTTACAGGTATGCTTAAGCAAAGACAAATTGAGACTTGTAGTTTATCTGAACATTGGTTGTTACCTGATAATGTCCACGTTCTAGATAGTATTGAGAAAGACTATAATTTCCATGCTGTGTGTGAAAAAAGTAATATCCAGACCTTGATCAGGTAAAAGTGACGTTGTCCTTTTGTGGCATAAACGTTTTGGTAATATTGTAACGCCATTTAACATTGACGTTGATAGAATGTAGGTATTCAATTACAAGTTGTGTTGAACCAGTATATTTATATATTTCAAATATACCTACCATGTACTTATCCTTCACTGAACTCCTTTGTAAATTACATTAATAAACTATAAAATTTGTATTACGTGTATTCCCAATATGGTATGTCTATGTTTATTGATGACTATAGAATAGCTTAACATCTCGTCATAATTATATGCTTAATGTTTTATGAAAGCTGTGAAGATGTTACCAACATGTTATGGTGTAACATGCTCATATGTTTCTTATGATGATCTTTTTTCTACATTAATTGACTATAATGTTGACCCATTGATTTGACCGTCTTTCTGAAAGAAAGACTGCTGGCCTCAATAGAAAGTTAACACACATTGCAGAACAATACATAGAAGCGCATAAAGGGGCGTCTTCCATTTCTTTGCCAGAGGTAGTCCTCTTCTAAAACAAGGGTAGCTAGGCAAGAGATCCATACCAGAGACATCAGGCAATGTAACAGAGAACAGAAATTTGCCAATGAAGACATGCTTTATTTGTAATAACGAAGGCCATTTTGCCAGAGACTGCCGACAGAATAATAGAAGCCAGGAGCAAAAGGTGTGCCTTATTTGCAATAAGATGGGGCATATTGCAAAAGTTGTAGGCAAACAAAATCAAAAGGTGTAAGAAGAAGACTGAAGATGGAAAATCGAAGTTATCGAGTGGAGAGACTGTACCGACCCTCGCGGGGACTTGTAGCATGAGTTATTGGAAGAAGAAAGAAACCTGGAATTAAAGAAGAGTTTTGTCGGAACAGATGCAGTAAAATGTATAGAGATACTTGATGTGAGTTACCGGCTACGAAGAAGAAATATGTAAAAGAAAAAAAATATATAGAAAAAAAAGAATCCCGAAAGAAAGCCGAAAACAACTCACAACTCACGGGTAAAGAAATTGTCATGATTACAATTGGTGAAAATGCTAAAGTCGTACCTTTGGCAAAAATATGGGTAGGTACGCCGTTGGGGAGTGAGAAATTGAAGGAATCATAGAAAGATGACTGCCCATTGAAAAAGGCTTGAGACTTAGCAGATAAGACAGAAACTGTGTAAACTAACGAGAGGCCAAAATCAAATACGTAGCAGAAAACGGTGTGCTTTTGCAAAATGGTGATGACCGACGGATTTCAGGAAGAGAGTGATAGAACTTGCCCATGAATCCATTGTTGGCGGAGATATTTCATCCAAGAAGACAGAATTCTGACGAGTTTCCATTGGCAAGGAATAACGGGAGATGTTGGAAGTGTTTGCACATCGAGTGATGTGTGCCAGAAGACCATCCCAAAAGAGGGGTTGTGAAGAAGGTCCCCCCTAATATGCCGGTGATTGAGGAACCTTTGCACCGTGTAGCAATAAACTTGATAGGACCGATAATACCAGTGTCGGAGAGGGGTATAGATATATCTTGACAGTTGTAGATTTCGCCACACGTTATCCTGAAGCCGTGCCATTAACAATAATAGATACTGAGAGAATTGCAGACTCAAAGCTTGAAATATATTCGAGAGTAGGCCTTCTATTAGAAGATCTAAGTGACAGAGGATTTCAATTTACAGCAAATTGAAAGAGATATGTTGGCTCATAGGCGAGTACAGGATTTCCACTAATTTGAGTTGCTGTATACAAGAACAGTTAAAGGGCCCATGTAAATTCTAAGGAACATGTGGGCTCATAGAGAAGATCTTGAAATACAGAATACATACGAGGTATAGTCAAAAAGTTCCCGGACTGGTCTGTTTAAAAAGATTATTGACGTCCGATTGTCATAAAATTTACCATGAAGGTATTTTTAACTAATTTGAGTAGCAACATGTATGAAAAAAATCAATTTAGTAAATATTTGGAAGTTAGTTTTCACATGAAACACGCCCGCAACCCGTGTACGGAGCATTTCAGAATTAATTTGATCGGATGACGTATCGCCATTTTGTGCACGATTATTCAAGCCACGTGAAAATTTTTATACGAAAAGATGTCAACCTCAGAAAAACGTACGGAGCAGCGGGCAGTTATAATTCTGTGCGATGTATGGAATGACTCCGACTGATACCTGGAAGGTTTTGAATCAGAAGGAGGGTGTTCATAATTGTTCTAGGACACTTGTGTTTGACTGGCACAAGCGTTTTAGGGAAGGTCAGACGGAAATTACCGATAGTGCACGAGGCGGGGTAACGATCAACGCTAAATCCAAGATGTAAAGGACGTCATCGCCAAAGATCGGAGAAAGTCGATTGATGATATCGCAGACACCGTCGGGCTTTGTCATGGAACTGTACATAAGATAGTGACGAAGAATTTAAACATGAATAAGGTATGCGCCCGCTGGGTACCTAGGTTACTTACAGATGAAAACAAAGCAACCTGTGTAGACGCTTCCCGAGCATTTTTACGGCGATATGATAGAGACGGCGAACGATTCCTAATACGCATTATCACTACGGATGAGACGTGGGTCGGAGAGTAAACGAGAGTCGATGGTGTGGAAGGGACCTTAATCATCCCCCCCCCCCAAGAAGGCGAAAACCTGCAAGTCGGCGACGAAAGTTATGTATATTTTCTTCATGGATAGCCAGGGTATGCTGTTGCAAAATGCGGTGCCAAGATCGGCGACAGTCAACAAAGAGTACTATCAAAAGGTAAGCATTAATTATGTCGCATGAAATGTTTTTACTAAATTTCTATGTTTATTTATATGTAAGGTGAAAGGTATATAAAATATAACAAAAAGTGAAAGAAACTATTATTTTTATAAATTGCCGCATTTGTGGTAGTTTCAAATAAAATGAATTTGTTATTAACAGGTTGTGCGGAGGGATCTAACGAACGCTATCAGGAAAAAGCGAGCAGGGTGCGACATCGAAATTTTATGTTTTCATCAAGATAACGCTGCAGCACACCGCGCAGACGAGACACTCCTTACTATTGACTTCTTAGGATATGAGCGGCTACATCATCCCCCTTATAGCCCCGATCTCGCCTCCTTAGAATTTTGTGTTTTCCCTAGACTGAAAGCAGATTTGAGGGGTCGGAGGTTTGATTCAGAAGATGAGATCAAATATGCTGTGAGGTCCGCAAAAAGAAGTTACACTCCAGAGTGGTATGCAGACATTTACCGGAAGTGGGTACAGCGGCACAGCATGTGTATTGAACACAATGGGGAGTATTTTGAACGTGAAGCATGAACGTGACGGTAAGTTGTTTCTGGAATATGAACGTCACCTGAACGTCGTTAGCGTCGTCGACGTCGCCGAAGTGCTGCGTACGTGACATAGTGTGTAACCTTAACGGGGTGTTAAATATGTGTAACATTTATGAGAATCATTGACTGATATATTCATCAGCGATTTCTCTAAATTTTAATGTGATATATGTCATAATAAAACATACACAAAATAACAAAGTTATCGTTAGAGTCCGGGAACTTTTTGACTATATGTCGTATATGTATGTACTCAACGTGAAGCAGCGCTTTGAGAAGACATGCAAGATGACCAGAGAAATCTTATGAAAGCTAAAACACATGCAAACATCACTACAACAAGAGAGCCGAAATAAAATTTTGCGAGTAGAAGATAAAATATTACTGCTTCTACCCACAGAAAATAATAAGATGATGCTTCAATGGAAAGAATATTGAGTATTGTAATCATGTCATGGCAACCCATATACTCACACACACACACGCACGCACGCACACACATACACACGTACACACTTATATATGTATACACATACATATACACATGTTTATAAACATATAAACTTGTTTATGCATTTGACTTGGTTTTGATTAATAAACAAAGATCTATGGAAATTTAAATAACTAGCTAATTTTCGAATTATGTAAAATGTTCCAAAATGCAATACTTTTAGGGATAATCTTTTTGAGATTGAGAATTTATTAGAAAAATTAACTTGACACTTTATAATATATCTAAATTGCCAAATACCCATATATCGGATGGTGTCGTAATATACGCTTATTAGGCCCCACAACCGTAATTTTATCTCGTGCTGTACGTCAATTATTCATTCTTTGAAAAAAACAACATAATTCATAATAAACAATCAGGATTTCGAAAAAAATCATTCTTGTAATTCTGCACTCATTAGTTTAATTGATACTTGGTTAAAAGATGTGGACAGTTGAAAAATTATCGGGACTGTATTCTTAGATTTAAAGAAAGCCTTTGATTTGGTTGATCGTGAAATACTTTTATATATGTCATATCCTTCTAACAGAATCCAACTGGTTAAGATACGATATGTAATTTTCAATCTCAGACAATGAAAATAATTTCCTGTGTTCCACAAGATTCAATATTATGACCTTTATTATTTCTAATATACATGAATAAATATACACAGCTTTCATTGGTAATGACATAAAAATTGATTTATACGCAGACGATTCTACTCTTTATGAGTCCGGAGAAAATATATCAAAAGTAGAATAAAACTTCATTTAAATAACACTGAGAAATGATGCAAAATCAATAATATGGCCTTAAATCCAGATAAATCAAAATGTATGGTTAGAGGAACAAGACAAAATGTATATATTATGAGAAAATTGTATCTTAAGATAAATGAAATAGTTCTTGAAAATGTAACTGAAAAAAAAGTCATGGGTATTTGCATAGATAACACCCTAAAATGGCACTTGCAAATTTACTATGTTTGCAAAAAACTTAACGGAAAAATTGCTTTATTGAAAAAAATATCGAGTTTTTGAACTTTGATATGAAATAATTGTTTTACAATGCATATATATTGCCCATTATGGACTTTTGTTGTATCATATGGGGTAAAGGAACCACAAACTACATAAATAATGTTTGTAAATTACAAAAACGAATTGCTAAAATCATTTTACAGCTACCACAAAGATCTCCGTCAATGAAGCTATTCGAAGCTCTGAACTGGTTACTATCCCTTGACAGATGTTAATACCACACGGCGGTGCTTGTTTTTAAAAGTTTAAATCTGGTTAATCTCTTAATCCGACAACCAAATATATAACTTAAGATCTAGGTCACGAAGAGATATTGTATCATAGACAACACCTAAACGAATTATATTAAAGACACATTTTCTTATTATGGCATGAACATTTGGAACAATATACCTTAATATATTCGTAATGTTAAAAACCTTAAATGTTTTAAAGAACAATACAAACCATATCTTGATATATGAATGAATGAATAAATGACAGAACGAATGAACAAACGAACGAATGATGCAATTTATACGTATATTTTCAAACAAAATGTTGAGTGTTTGTCGAAAGTATATGAGTTGTCTTATTCTAAGAATTACATATTATACATTCATTTTACCTATGCATGTTCTGTTGATGTTTTTGTTGTTTTCTATTTCAGAAGGCTACATTGGAAATAAGATATATATGATTGCTATTGCATGTTCTTAATGTGTAACCTTCTTGAAATAAAGAATTATTTAAAATAAAATTTAAAAGAATTTATTTAAAATTATTATTTCGAACGTTTGATATGAAAGAAGTTTTGCATTTGCTTTTATATTTCATTTTTTTCTTTCACAGCATGTGCCATGAACGAAATATATAGAGGATATTCAAGTTTTTTTCCTATAAATGCAGGATTTATTTTCATTGAGTAGTATGAAAATAAATATTTCATGAGTGGCGGTAGCCACGAGCGAAATATGAACATTTTCATACCACAAGATCATAATAAAATCCTGTATTTATTGAAAAAACTTAAAAAATTTCTGTTTATCATATACATTTTTTAGACATTACAATTTCAAAGTTTACCCTTAAAATTTGTGTATTGGCTGAATTTAGAAGAAAGTAGTCCGGCAAAACACCAGTGAAAAATACGGAAAATATGTTTTACTGCAGCATAAATATTTTTTTACAGTGAAAATACGGAAAATGAAAATACGCATTTTATTGCATCAATGTTCTCAATATTTCTTTTATAAGTATTTGATTAATGAATTTTCGAGAATGTATTATTTTAATCATTTGTATTGACTGAGCATATTATTATGCAACACAAATTAAATAGCTTTAGATAAGTAAATGATTCATTTACCATTTTGTGTTAAAGTCGACTTACATAGTGTAAATGCAAAAATAATAGTGAAGACGTGCATTTAGGGTTCTGATATGGATAAGAAAAGTGTACTTGCTGAGCATCACCTTTCACACACCAAACGTGTAAATGACAAAACGAAGTTTGACATACGAGAATATTATTTAAGCAGTATTCTGTATTAAATTCTGATTAACGTACAGAGATACTTTCAATCACAAAATTTACTAAAAGGTACTCTTGCTTTGATTATTTACATTTATGCCTAAAATTACTTTTGATATTTGTTTTTCCGAGTTAGTAAATTGTAATCATTGAGTTATTTTAAATGCGAAAACTTTTGTGTTCAGATTTTAACATGCTGTATTGCAACTGTTATGGCTTTAAAAACATTCTAAGAGACAAAACTTGTGAAATGAAAAAGTCTAAAATTTCAAACTGCCCTATGTGCTCGGAGTCAAGTTATCGACTTATTGAATCTAAATCATGTTATCATTTAAACATCGTTATAAAGCCATTAAGGCATTTACAACATATTCGTTATCGAAATGTTAACATAAAGATTTTCACACCGTTTGCGTTTTGATAAAATTTCAGCAGGTATCTTCAGCAAACGGTGCTTTGTTTTGTTGGATGAAACCGTCACACAAGATAAAATAAGTTTAGACTTAGTTACATCGCTTACCTTGAATAGTTGAAAATGCAATCACAAATGGAATATATATAGTGAGTGGCGCTCTTTGTGTTTCACCCATGTTCACAGAGGTATTGCATTCCAATGACTGAACGGTAAATCGTTTTTACACGCCTTTTTAGGTTAAGCATGATCACCAGGTTCAATAGTTTAAGGGTTAAAATTAAGATGATTTTGAAATAAATCAAAATAGCTCGCCCAAATTGAAAACTTGAATCTTTTGCATTTCTGTGATTTAAAATGTAATTCAAACTTTATAAGAACTATAAATCAGTATGGAGTAATTGATATTTCGAACATTCTATGGTCCGCTTTTAGTGAGTGCATCGTGAGGTTTTTAATGTTTATCTAAAGATATTTATCTAATATCAAACGACTATCAAATTTATGCATTACTATTGATGTATAAATTTGTTTTATCTAACTCAAAAGGTAAGATTTACTTGACGAATTTCAAAAAGAGTTAACTCGTAAATTGAACATTTATTGAATCACCATATAAAGACTTTCTGCTGTAAAACACAAGTATATTTTGTTTCATTAATTATATAAATGAAAAACTGCCTTTGGTAATTGCACATTTTATGCATTTTTTCGGATATAAATAAAATAACAGGCAATAACTTCCTCTTATAAGTGTTTTATATATCAATTATGAAATACTATTTGTTTGATGAACAGTATAAAAATCATATGCCGGTAAATGTATATCTTGCGTGAAATGCGTGTTCTTTACATTAGCCAGCGGAGAGTCATACATGGATCACATTCGTCCTATTTCTGACATGTGCGATCACATTCATCTCAGCATTCAAACACATTCCTCCTATCTCTGAAAACTTGTGTTAAAGTTGAGTTCTTCAAGTGTCATAGAATCACACTTGTCACATTTATTTTTCCCTTGCACACTATCATATTTTTCGCACCTTTCTACTTTCAAAATAATCAAACAATACTGTAAAAATACTCATGTATGTTTCAAAAACATCAAGCTTTAGGTCAAGGGATAAGTCATTGTAAAGGCGAGAGGACGAACTACCTTAGTTCACATAGCAATACTCAAATAATCGTTTATCTTAGACAATTAATAAGAAGGCTTTATATCTGATTTATGTATAGAAGAATTCGATTTTATCAAATAATGCATGAAGTTAAAGATCAATAAAACTTAATAGAGTTTTTTTCATCTATGAGTTATCAAAGACTACTCTGAATAATTAATACTTTTATGCATTACTACATAAATTTATGTTTGCAATTTTGTTGGATTACCCGCACTTTTTTTAGCAAAATGCGACTTTTAATCTTTATTAGTGACAGTATTACAGAGATTTATGTTCTCAATCTAAAAGCTAATTCAATAAAGACGATGGTTCAAATTCTATAAATCATGCCGATTGCTGCCTATTTCACTTTAATTTTTCTAGGTTAATCTTATAACTATTTGCTTTGACCGAACACACACGCGGTTGATCGATGATACGCAGTAAATGTGACAGCAAACATGGTGGATAATTTGAGATGTAATAATGCAATGTCGATGTTTCCAGTCTTGGGGATGAATGTAGAACAAAAGGAAGAAACTTATAGAAAGAAAAAAAATGATTATGTGTTCGGCGTTCTTTCAAGTATTATCTTTGTTAACACTATTAAACAGTAAGTAAACTTATGTTTTAATTTATAAAATAATTGTTTTGTATTCAGATAGAATATACTGATAATTTTCATAGATGATGTTAAAGCTGTCAAAATATAAAACTTGGTTGTTAAATTGAAGCATGACATATGTAACAGTAAGGACACTTTTGCAAAGTTGGAAACATTGGCAACAAAACTACCAAAAATTCATTTAATACCTGGAAATATGAATTATCATAGAAAATATTTGTGTTTTAACGTTAAAACATGTACATATTTTATGTTTAAACATTGGATTCTTAAATATCAAATAATTCGACATTGTAAAAAGGCGAATGATGAGTATTTAGGCAAAAAAAATAAAGTTTTTGATTAAGATAATTCATACGTCAATTGAAATTGAGTTCATCAGCAACATACAAAATACAAACATCAAATTGCATCTTGAAAACAGTAACAATATTTATCTTCAATGTTAACGTTATGCATGCATCATCTCATGTAAATCATTTGGTCTTAATGAATGGTCTGTAATACAGATTTTTTTTATTACTCGAATAGTATTTAGTATTAGATATATTTCTTTATGCCACGAAAGAATCATTCGTGTCCATGGATGTTGCTGGCAAGTGTAAGATAAATGATCTGAAATTCAGATATTTATATACCAGATAATAAAATGTAATAGAAAAACTATTTTTCATCATATAAATGTTTCTACTAAATCACTTAGAACTTTATCATCAACATTTTTAAATAATATATTTTAAAAATATATTATGGATATATTTCTTTTGTTATATTTCAAAATTTGAAATACTTATTGAAAATGTACCCATTGTCAGATCTATCCACTTTTAACCATGTGACCATCTGAAAAGGAAATGAAGTTAGACACGATAGAAGATAACTCATTTAATTCATAAACTATCTAATCAGAAACTTTTATTTTCTTTGTTTACATGAATTATTTAAAAATGCCAGTTGTCAATATTTCAAGTTTTTTAGACTTAGACCTTTATGGCAATGAAATTTATGAAACTTTATGAAATTCTGAGCGCAGTACAAATTTTACTAGATTTAGACTAAAACTCTTTATTTTTTTGGAAACGGACCTAAATCACTTCGTTTTAAATAAACCTTATAGATCGAAATAAAACTATGTCAAGAGAAGAAATTTACAGAGACTTGAATTTTCATATTTCAATAATATCTCAATAATGAATAATGCAGGCTAGCTACATGTAATATCAAATGCAAATGTTTTGATTCATATAGCATGATAAAAAATTGTCATGAACATGGTTGACTGACAATGCAGTCATATCTTTTGATATGATCAAAGAGTGAAATTTCAAAGGAAATTGATATCTTTTTTTTCATATAAGATATAGATATAAAATAAAGGTACTTAATATGATAATACTTTTAAATCTACATCTATTTGTTGTTTTTTTGTTTGTTTTTTTGTTTGTGTATTTTTTGCGTTTTTTTGTTGTAACTTTGTAAGTAATTATACATACTTTACAAGAATCGTCAATAAATGAATGAATTTCTCCGTTGTTTTTTTGTATCGGTATGCATTTATTTTGTTTAAAATACCTTAAGATGTTTTTTGACCGATACAAATTTTCTAAACATATTTCAGTTTTATTTAATTTTGTAAGTTGGCAAAAAAGTTAATTAAGGAGTATAAAAAAGAAAAAAAACAACAAGGAAAAAGAAATATATCTTACGTAGATTATAGGAAATCGACATATATTTAAACATTGACTTTATCAGGAAATAGTTTAAAGAGTGTGAGGAATGTATGCTTCCGAGGGATCACTCAATATTATGCAAAATAGTAGAAAACCTAGTTTTGATGTAATACGCTTTTTTGTTGTTATACATTTATCTTGTGTAATTAAAAACAAGTTCACAAAATCGGCAAAATCGACATGTAATATGCTTCTGACCAAGACAATATATATATGTATACAATATATAAAAAATAAGGTGTAATTACATCAATATTACATACAGCAATAAGATATGGTTGACATATGTGAATTATGTTTATATTAAAATGGCACTATCTATTAACAAATCTTTAAGGAGCAGCTTTAGCAGCAGTATTTTATTTTACTAGACGACACCAGAAAAAGATCTATTCAAACAAAAAGGCATAATTAGTACAACTTATTAGACGTAGTTCCTTATATAAAGAACAACGCAGCAAAGTTTTGGCTGATTTAAAATAGTATCACACCACTCTTGTAATTACTGGTCTCATAATCTTTGCTTTAACAAAGGAAGATAGTCTGTATCGAAATTTGATTCTTTACATAAATGTCCGAAACCTAGCGAAATATCAAAGCACATAAGCACTATAAAATGTTTAAAAAAAATGCTAGGGATGTTTGTAAAGTGATATTATTTCATAAACACAAAATTGGAAATAAGTTTTTTTTTTCAAATGCATTTTTGTTAAACATTTTAATAACAGTATTAAAAACAAGTATGATGACATGTATTCAGAAATAAAATAATTGTTTCATTTACTCTATTTCAACAACATGTTCAAAGGCTTTGTTGTGTACATGTACAGAATTTGCAATTTGTTTTTTTATTAATTGGCTACAACTAACTTTTGCACTTTTTTTGGATTTTTTTGGGTTCATTAATACAAAGAACTGATAAAAGAATATAGTTGGTGTTATAATGAATTTTCACATTTTCTATGAAACAGCATTTTGTAATGAAACTGACGTATTTTACAACGCAAAAAAGATCAAAGTAAGTTTGACTTATACAGTATTGCACTGATGAAATTAAAACTACACGAGACAGTCTTTTATTTCACATTTGAAGTTAATTTATTAGAAAGGGTAAGTTTTGCTACATTAGCCCGAGAGTGTGTATTTGACTTAATTTATCAAATTATGTAAAAAGCAATTTTAGGCAAAAATGTTATTTAGACAAGTATTGCGCGGAGCCATCGATATTAGGTCTACAATATACTAACTATCTGATAAATTACCGGAATGTTCAAGTTCTATTAAATAAATGCTTCGTCTGAACTCTTTTTCAGTCGGTGTTTCTATAGAAGATCCATGTGACAGAAGTTCTCATGTCCTCTTTCCACAGAATAACTTTGGCGCCAGAAACGAAAAATGCCAATCAAACGGAGAATCGACATGTGATATGTATTTTAAATCTAACTGGTACATTGTTAAAAACGCTACAGTTCTCAACCATTGTCCAAAATTGGGTTACTGCGGGGTTACATATCCGGCATGGGTAAACGGTACGTTTTCTTTGTAAAATTTCATATTTCTGTCTTTGAAAATATTTCTTCTAAGGTATAATAAAAGCTACAGATTCTGTGTTAAAATGCAAAATTATCTGACAATATGTCAAAACAAACTTACTCAAGGGAGTCAATGTGAATGTAACATTATATGTAAAATTAAACAAGACATATAGAAATAACTTTCTTCAAAAGGTACTTTCCCAACTCGTGAAGATGGAATTGTCAACCGTACTGCATGTATTAAGTTTGGAAGTATATGCTGCAACGAAAGCAAGACAATACAGATAAAAAACTGCTCAACATTTCTCGTGTATTACTTTGTTCCTCTCACAACATGTCCTATGGCATATTGCTTTGGTAAGTTATTTTCGTTTAAATTGGACAACACCTGCGTTTGTATATACGTATATGTACATAACTATTTATAATTTCCAAACTGAGACATTGTAAAATGAATGGCAAAGTCATTTTTAAATAACTCATATTGAGACCCTTAATTTCACGTTATTTTATATGAAATACACTAAGATGTGGCATACCCTTTTGCACAAATGTTGTACGGTACCATATATGCAAGATGTTTTTTGATATAGCATTTCTCTCACAACATAATGTTTACATCTCAATTCTTCTGATCATTAATGCAAGAAAGAAAGACATATTTGGCTCGTGTTTACAATAAAGAAACCGATAAAAAGGAAGGGTATTGGATTAACGTTGTCCGTTCGTCCATTTCTGTCCGTGCCCATTTCTGAGAGGCAGTATGCATGCGAATAGGGAAATTAGGATCATTTTTCACTTAAAGCTCATTTGAAAATGTATTTGCCAGTAAAATAGTAATCAAATTCAGTATGAATGTATAAAAAGAAGGAATTAATACAGTGTTAGATTGTATAAAAAGCTTAACCAGTTGTTAATGAATAATTGATTTGTTATGTGTGTGTTGTCTTATCAATAAGTTTACCACAGCCTGGATGATAACATTGGTTTTATTTTTCAAATAAATACAAACTAAGCGAATACATGTATTTGAAAAAGTAAATAAGAAAATAATTTAAAAGGAATTTATTGTATTACTAAATATATTATTTTGCAAATTCATCGTTCTTGATACTGAATGAAATAGTGACATAAATACGTCTGCAAACAAGAAACACAAATGCTATATGGGATGCGATAGAACCGGATATCAAAAGGCTCTGTAAAATTTATCATGTTTGTACTTGAACTAACAATTGATATTATTTTATTAACTTCAATCGATTTACCATTTTAGAATCTGATTTACCTTGCGAACCGCCAACGACAACACCCGTACCAGGTATGGCTAGATTTTTTCGTTTTTCACCCAATGTCATATAATTAGTGTATTTGGCTTATAAAGAGATTCTGTTACATTTTGATAAAATATGTTCGTAGTTTATTACATGACTCACTTGATTTCTTTGTAATAAAGCCATATAACTATATATCATTACATCAATCGATTCAAAAGACATCAATTACGTGAATACTTTAATAGTAAAAAAAAAATTGCAACGGAAGAAAATCTTTTCAAATGATTTATTCTTGTGGTTGATCATCATGATAAATGCAACTTGAAAATTATTGTCAAGTTTATTTAATCATGTGATCTTTTCAGTCTGACATTCTTTGTGGTATTATGTAAAGATTTATCAAATCTTCAAACTTATTGTAAAGCCGGAAAGAGGTTTGCTTGATTCATTTCTGAGATATTTTTTAAGAAATAACAACTCCTATCATATTATTTCAATCTTACATAGACGAACATTATATGGGCACACAATAATATGATATTCAGTCACATTAAAGATAGAAAACAGATAGAAAAAACACTGTATGTCTTCAACTTTCAAAATCGACGTTTTCCACATTGCATCCTTTGTTCGTCCCGCGTTTTCTGGTTTTCCTATATATAAATCAACCAATAGTTGTTATTTCTTATTTTTGTCTCTCAAACATGTAATGAAGCTGACTTTCACAGGCAAATTAAATACACAAACGTCATTTCGTCATAAGCAAAGTTTCACAATAAACATGAATATATATATATAAGAAAATTAAATACCCTGTTGATCTATTATTTATTTCCGATCTCGCTTCTTACTGAAAAAAATCAAAAAATCTACAAAACAACAATTTTTCTTCAATTTATATGTTAGGCCATCTTTAAACATGTAAAACGCGATTTGGGCAATTTCAAGTATTTTCATCATTTTCTGTTAACCCATCGCGATATACACGCCTTTTAACGCCTTTTTCATACCTTTTTTGTTGTCTCAAATGGTGAAAAAATGCCTTATTGAGGCCCTCAACACTTGTTTTTGTTTGACCACTTTTTCGGCGCGGCCCCAACCAAAAGATATATCAGGGGTTTGCCAGAAGGGGGATGTGCCCCCTGTTTGGGGGGTTTGAAGGGGGTGGCCGTCCCCCTCATCGCCAAGAAAAAATTGGACTAGTGAGAGGCTAAAATGACCCCAGATCGATCAAAAGGTAACGTATAACCAACGCTGAAAAGCATTGTACTCTATCTCAATCCATTGAGAAGTTGCAGCACTTTTAAATCAATTTTGATGAAAAAAAAATCAACGCAAAATAGTGATTTTTAGCAATTTTGAGATGTCCCCTCGCTGCCATTGTAACAGGAAATTTAGGCCTGAGCATGTTGTGGCAAAGGCAATGGTCTAGTCAACACTTGTGCCAAGTTTGATAAGTATTGAAGCAGTTTTTTTTACAGTTTTATAGCAAAATTTGAACTTGTAATTGGAGACTTTCAATGAAAACAGCCTTTTTTCACAAAATGCTCATGAAGTTGTGGGTTAATGAAATAAAAATCAAAAAATCTACAAAACAACAATTTTTCTTCAATCATTTTCTGTTAAAGATGTTGGTATTAAATATTTTGTGACATAATTCAAATGTGTTAACAATTTTCATGTATATGTAAATACTTATATGATACTGACTCTATTCAGGAAATGAATTAGTACTTTTTATAATAATCCACTAGAAATAATAATCCACTAGAAAAGAAAGTAAACATAATATATATTGGTCGCCTTTGCAACTAGCCTTTTTAATTTTGTCAGAAATAAAAAAAAATCAGACTCAAATTGGTATTTGAGAGCAAACCATAATGTACTAGTATGTGTAAATACATAACGCTTGTTATAATTATGATTTCTGGTTTTTTATAGGCCCATGAGGCCGGACACAATGTTTCATTTTTCTTGTAGGTATGTTTTGTAATAGATGTACATGTCAGGATAATAAAATATTTACTTACTAACTTACTTTCAAATTAAACAAAATCATAGTCTTGCTTTATAAACGGAAAAAGTAGCGCTAATATCCATTTTCTTGTTTAGTTCAATAAAAATTGTCCCGGATGTTATCAATGAATTATATACCTTTGATGTGACATAACGTTCTTTAATGTAGCTACTTTTGTTGATTCTATGTGATAAATGGGCAATGTAAAGAGAGCGGTGTCAAAACTCTACACTATTTAATTTTATCTGACTTAAGAGATGTGAAAACAAATGAATAAAAGAAATAAAGAAATATAAAGCATAACAAGTCGTCAATGTTTAAAAACTGATTACAACTTTTTTATACTTATAATACCCATATATGTAATGGTTTATTAAAGGGATATTCAGGCAAATGAATGACAAAATATTAAATTTATCATATCTACTGAAATCAAGGTAAAATGAAGTTTTTAAAATTTCCAACATGTTCTCTTTCTTGTATAAATACTTAATAATGTGAGTTTGAAACATAAATAAATCTACATATGTTGAACGAAGTTTTAAAACAAGTCATTTGACAATAACAAACCCTGGAAGTAATTTTAGATATTGCGGGTATTGTAAGATTAAAACAAGTCTAAGTCGCTCAATTGACAGGTTCTTTTACGTTCCCATAGTTCACTGTGATAACTATCGTGAAATCTAAATTTATAGAATATTGGATGTAAAATTGAAATCGAAGATATGAAAATTTTGTCTGTGGTTCCCTGTAAGTCATTTTTGTAAAAACAAGATTTTAAAACATATTTAAAACATGTGTGGTGGCCGTCTTGGTCATTGTCGACCAACTTTACCTGAAGTATATAAGCTTACCAGAGCCTAGATGATAACATTGGTTTTATTTTTCAAATAAATACAAACTAAGGGATAATTTATAATTTATAAATGTATTACTAACATTTGTTTTTCGATGAATAATATTATAATTGCTTCTAATAAGATTTGGAAACTTATAATTCAGGTGTTTCAGGGGTATCTAAAACTACAACGTTACAGTCAACAGATGGTAAAGTATACTTATAACGATAATGGTGTTGATTTTTTTCATACGGATATATATCAACTTCCATTTAAGAATATAAGTTTAGATGCAATAAATATTTTTGGCTGTTTATATTTTTGTCTGATATACGTTTTTGTTTTTGATAAATATGTTTTGACTATCATTTCATAAGAAGGACTTTTTCCTTTTATGAATATCCTCCTCTCTTTTGCTACTGATGTAGACAGAAATGAATATTTTTCTATTGATTTCAAATGTTTATACTATTTCTATGCAACGATTTTCCCACTTTTATGTATATAATTGTGTCGTTCGTCCCGTAGTTTTTATAATGTCTTTTTACGTTTTGTTATTCATTCTATGTTCTAGGCAAAACCTTCGAACTCACTTTTTTCATATGATTCTGAATAATTCATATAGTATCAAATCAAATATTATGTGAATAAACGCCATCATTTCTAATCAAATTGCATAATTCAAATTCATCAAAACTCTAATAAACAATATTCGCTTTAAGAATTGAACTATTTCAACAAGCGGCTGGCCTAAATTGTTCTTATATATTGGTACTTGTATGTTACAAGCATACAAGTGTTGGATTAAACGTTGCACAGACATAGAAATAAATAATCTTCTTTTCAACCCTCCTTTCTCCATTTATTTTGCATACCCTCTCATGGTTATTCTTTATATTGGTGTTATAACTAGTCTTACGTTTCTTTAATTATAATTATATGAAGAAAACAGAGAAAAGAACTGATGTTATTTGGCACATGTCAAGGTTATCAATTTTTACTCGCATAAAAGGAATATCATAATTTCTGTTGTATTATATGAAATAATGTTAAGGTAGAAGGTTATATCATTTTAGAAAATTCTTCATATAGTTATATTAAAATTCATTTGTAAGAATGAATAAACATAACTGAAAAAAATTATACCCTTTAAACAACTTCACTTTTTACTCTGGTGTGATATTTGACCAATTTATGACCGTGTATAAACTATGTAAGTTTATAAAAATAATCTGATGGTGGTAGTGGTGTTGGTAGTTTTTCCTCCGGACCATTGACTGGAGCCACATTGAATTTATCAGAGCACAGTTCAGCCACCGCATCGTTCCTGGGCAAACTGTCAAGTAGTTGCCTTAACTTTCGAACTTCTGTCATGCCAGAACTGATAACAGAAGAATGGCTTTCTTCTGTTATTAAATGCATCAGCCGTGTATTAGATGAAGTACCCCTTGCAATTGTTTAATTACAAAAATCGAAATAACTAAAGTGCAAACATTTATGTACCCTCTGTGCTCCATATCATGAAATGTAAAATTGTATTGTGTTATAGGCATTGTATTTACATGCTTTATGCAATAAACTTTTGAACTGAATTGAATTGAAATTATTATACCTGTATATATTTCTTATGTACTGTCACATGCTCTTGAATTTTACATGTATATAATGTTGTCTAGTATGTTTCCTATAGCTAGCATCTTTAGTTGACAACACACAAAACTAATAATGACTAATTTATAACAAAAATGATTGAGAAAAAAAAGTGTTCAAGTGTTTTCTTCCTAGGTAACAAAGACAGATTTACAACAACTGCAAATGTCTCAGGACACACCGGAGAGATTCTACGTAGGTTACGTGATTTTGAAAGTCCTTAATAAAAACAGTTTACTTTTTGTATTCCAAATCTTCATTAAATTGTTTTAACGACATGTATTCCTCAAAACGCCCTTTTAAAATGATGAAGGACCATTGTTTGATTATAGATAGAACTTATGATGGCGCGCCGAAGTACTTTGCTCTATGTACAATTTATCCTTAATAATTACAATACCAGGACGGATGATTTCCTAAACAAACAACGGTTATCTGTTCAAACAATCTGTTAAAATTCTTATCTGCTTTAGATTTTCAGAATTATTAATTCTACACATATTCTAAAGAGTACAGTATTATCTGGTATAGTTCATTGCATGTTTTATATTTATTGAAAGAATAAAAGTCCATATTAAAAAGTTTTTATTTTATATAACGAGGAGGAAAGTGATATTTTTTTTTTAAATATCAAGTTGTAACATATTTATCAGAGACGAATTACAACATATCGTTATTAGGAATTTTTTTTCACTTCTTTATGAGATGAATGCAGATCATAAAAGTAGCACGTTTTATGTATAAACTATATATACGTTATCTAGAGTACCTTTATTTAACCATTAAACATTATTGTCTCATTTTTTGGATGGCACTATTGAATAATCGATTATCTTGAATTTCAGCTGAAAGAAAATCAAACTCAAAGGAAATTGTAATTGGTGTAAGCGTCGGGTTGGTAGGACTCCTACTCTGTGTCGGTATTGTCATCATTGTGTTCATGGTCATGACGGGAAAGTAAGAAAATGAATTGTTATTTGATTGTCAAATGTTTAAAAAAACATTAATTTAAGGTACTACTATAAATTGAATCATATCATCATTAAGATTCAAAAATGAAAGTAAAGTTATTTGATGTTGAAATATTACGAATAAAAAGGACGAACGTCTGTTTAAAGGATTATTTTCTATTTTTAGATTCAAAGCAAATAGATCCGCACCAAGTTTGTCAGTGAAGCAACAACAAGGAGAACACATTCATGACTATATAAATTCTCCGCCACCTTATCACCTGCCACAAAAAAAGCTTGAGATGGGAATCTAATCATATTGCCATTATAAAAAAATAACCCGTTTGTTTGGAAAATGATGTGTTAACAAATTGTATAAACTTTTGTATGGCTTCTGATATTGGAATTAAGCAACGTGGCAATTTTGTATATATTTTATGGAGTATAAACAGTTTACTTAAAATAGGTTGTAGCATTATTTGACATTTTTTTAAATATTCATGTTTAAAAGTAAATTAAAAAAACGCCGGAACATTCCATGTGTATTGCTGTTTACTTCATAAAATTACAAGAGTTAACTTAGGCCTAAAAGCTGCACGTGTACCCGCTTTATTCATCTTTTTATTGTTAAATAACTAACAGAATTATGACCGATGAATCAGTCAAATTTGAGATGTTCTTTTCAGAATAATTTTTGTGCTCACAAACTCCTTACAAACCACTCATAAAAGCAAATAAAAAAACCGAAAAAAAATGACTTCGTCAGGTTATATGGCCTTACATAAACAATTGTTGATATACTATATAATTTGAGCCGCCGAGTCGTGACAAAAATTCTATTGGAAACAATCGTTTATGATATAATGCGGCTATATCACCTGTCAAATTCTCTGCGACTATTTTATGATAAGCAAGCTTACTTTACAAATTGAGAGCAGCCATTAGAGCGTTAGTACGATCATATAAAAGACATGATTATCCAATGAAAAGCGACGTGAAAAAAGTGCAGGAATTTGAATACGGGAATTAGAAATTCACTCTTAGTAGTAATTCTGATAAATTGTTATTTGTGATACACATTACCCTTTTAGCATTCATTTACGTCTTTCTCAACTTTAATTATTATACATTACGGATTGGTCAATGAAAACCACTTTGAAAATCTCGGCTATTATCAATTATAACCTGGAACTTAACACGATGAGAAGTAGTTCTACAGAGGGTGTTATCTTTGATAATGTATAACGAATATATATATTTAACATCAAAGGGAAAATAAAGTCCATTTCGGTAAAACTATGACTAAAAATATGTCAGGCAATCATTTTCAATTTAAAAACGCTCAATGACAAATCCGATTTGATACCAACCGGTACACATTTTGTACGTTCGATTTCTACAACCATAATAATAAGTTTTTAATTAATGTACTGTTACTTTAATATCTACGAATGTGTGTGTTTACTGGATATATTTAATTCAACTTAGTCAACAGTCCCATCATTAAATTACTATTTGTTTACAGGTTTAGTCACTTAACCTACTAGATCGTATACCGTATCCATTCTTTGTATTCATACTAATGTTGTTCTGAAGTCTGACGAAAAGGACCGAAAAGTTGCGATTGTCATATTTCCATCCCCGGGTTGAATGTGAGGAATAATGGGGGCCTGGCTTTTACCTTTCTTTTTGGCACTAAACTTGGTAAAAAAATGGAAAATTGGTAAAAGAAATGATAAAGATAATGAAAATAGTATTCACCTCTTATACCTCTTACACCTCTTTATTGGTCTTGTACATTCCGAGACTGTTACACGAATATTTCATTGTTTATTTTTTATATGATGAATAATTATTACCCACAGGAAAGCGTTTTGTTTTAAATGATTTTTTGTCTAATAGTATAATACTTTTTCAATCAAATTAAATTAGAGTTTAACTATGAGTTTAGAAATGTCACTGTAAATGATTTGAATGTTATGACATACGAGGGACGGTCAGAAAATATCTGGACTTTTGACTCATTCTCGAAAACCATTCAACATTTAAAAAAAAATCTTTCTACTCTTTTTCAAAATATTCTCCACCTACGTCTACGCACTTTTGCCATCTTAGTGGGAGCTTTTGTATTCCCGCTGTGAACCATGACGTAGACCTATGTTTTAGGCACTGTTTAACAGCAGATATCAAAGCCGCCCTGGTCTTATATTTCTTTCCAGCCAGCAATTTTTCAGTTGTGGTAACAAATCAAAGTCACAGGGGGCGAGGTCTGGGCTATAAGGAGGGTGAGACAACAATTGCCATTTGTAAGAGTAGAAGTAGATAACATCCACTGTTGCTGCGGCGGTATGGAAGGGGGCGTTATCGTGAAGAAGGAGGATATTTTTCTGTGCTAACCTGGGACGCATTTGCTTCAGCTTTTCTCTGAGATTTTTCAGAATTATTTCAGAATAGTACTTGTTGGTGACAGTTTGACCTTTTGGCATGAAATGAGTAAGTATCATTCCTCGTGAATCCCAAAAGGCAACAAGCATGACTTTGCCAGCCGAAAGAGACAACTTAAACTTTTTAGGAGGTGGGGAACCAGCTCGTATCCACTGCTTTGACTGAGCTTTTGTCTAAGGTTCGGAATAATGAACCCACATCTCATCTCCAGTGATAATGCGGTTCAAAAACTTATCTCCTTTACGATTAAAACGGCTTAAATGTTCTTTTGCATTGGTTACTCTGGTTGTCTTTTGATCTGCGGACAGCTGTCTAGGCACCCACCTGTCACTTACCTTGCTCATGCCTAGGTGTTCGTGTAAAATCTTGTGTGCCGATGCCTTACCGATGCTAAACATGTTGGCTACCTCCTCCAAAATTACTCGACGATTTTTGTTGACAAAAGCTTTAACATTTGCTAACATTGTTGGGGTCACCGCCTAAGCTGGCCGCCCAGTCCTAGGCCTGTCAAAACACTTGTTCTGCCTTCACGAAACTGAGAAACCCAGTTGTAGAAGGTTGAACGTGATACTCATTTATCAGAAAATCTTTTTTTAAGCCTCTGAAAGATGTGGCAGTGCTTTTCACCTTCTGCAACCAGAAACTTTATTACAGAGCGTTGTTCCTCTAACAAAGAGTCCGTGATAAACGAAACACCTATCATATATCCGAGGGCAAAATACTGTGTTTACACAACTATCATTGAAAATAAACTGACCCCGTTATTGGCGAATGAATGTATGTTTCACCAATATATAATGTGTGTATATAGCTGCACGTGGAAAGGAAGGAGCATGAAAAGTCCGGATATTTTCTGACCGTCCCTTGTATATAATTGTACATCACTTGTCAGTTATAAAAAGTATTACTTTTCTTCTTTTTATCTAAATCATTACTATTGTGTTTTTGGAACAGTCAAAAATGATGTCTCTCGGTATCAGAGATGATATTTTGAAATGTTGCCAGAGGCCAAATACCGAAGGACAACAGTTTTGACAGTTCCACAAACACCCATGAAATAACTGTTTTATTACCTTACACTTTGCAATCAAACTAGCATCATTATAATAACGTTTTACAAGTGTTTTAATTGTTGACGTTTGATTTTCTAAAAAATATCACTTCCGTACATCAGCTGAGCGGCGTTCGATAACCGACTAGTGGCGGTGGAGTGAACGGAAATATCCGATAACGGGTGTTTAACTGTTGACAATGTTAACAGGACAACATTTTATTTCATCATTGCACATGCACAGTATTTCAGCGGTTCAATAAAACAGTTTTAAATAAGGAAATTGTATTTGTAGAAGGCATTAGGTTATAACATCATCTGTTGATAAAAAGGAAAATGGATATATTGGAACGAAAATATCTTCTAGGAGCATCTAAATAACGTGACTTTCTCGCTCATTTACTAAAATATTTAACAATTTGTAGTTTTGACATATTGTAAATTTAACTGTTTTTATGCTTAAGCAAATGATAAGAAAAACTTTTCTTACAAGTTTTTATCAATATAATTATGTATATATAGTATATGTTCAGAGCCTACACTAACATTGTATTCATTACTTACCTCATTTATTCATGTTAACATGCAAATGTGTGTAATAAAGGAAATTTTACTTGACCTGACTTGACTAACATGTTCACAAAGAGCACACGTAGACCTGTTGTTTGTCCGCTTTGAACAAATTATTTTTCTGAAACGTGTAAGTGCACTATGCCAAAGATTTATCCAATGACATTATTTTGCGCCGACTTAACATTCAATTTCGCCTTTGGTCGGTTGAAATGTGTTTAATTTTTTTTTATGCGGAGATAGTATTGTTATAAATTCTTCTCTCTCGTAATTTATAATTCCTACTACATTTGTACTTCCATAATTTCACATAAAAATCACAATAACTGTTCTTAATTTCATTTCACTGTTTATTTGTTGAAAGTGTTCTAAATTTCTACTCTACAATTAATAATTAAAGTTACAGAGTTTTTCTTCCTGATAAGTTACTGAGAATTAACTCTCAAAAATCCCTGTCCCGACTCTAGCTCTTACAATCTCACTTTTGCATTTTGAATCTCGTTCTTCAATCTTCAATCTAGAATGCCCCTAGAAGGAGGTTACCTTAGTGTTAATTGACAAATCTAAGCCTTCTATATTTATGACGACAAGTGTTGATCAAGTAACTGTACCAGAAACAAACAGACTGATTCCTGGAATTTTTATGATGGTAACCAATGACTGAGTTCTCTAAACACAACAATTGCAGGCCTCTTGTCCATAATTTATGCAGGTAACTGTTGACAGAGTTACGATACTAAAATCTCCCAGACTGATACACAGTCTAGCCCCAACAGATTTATAGTAATAAAGAATAACAACTAATGAGGTCTCAATTCTCATACAAACTCAATCATTAAATCAAACCTTAACCAGGTGCCTTGCTAAAACTACAACAGTATGCCTTTTTGCTTCAAACATGCCGAAAGAATTTTTATATTGTTATGGCCCTGATCGCCCATCCGATCTGATGTTCAGAGTGCAGGTTTGACCTTACTCAGGTCAAGGTTAAAGTCACACTTAGTCATTTTGTATGAATTTCAAAATTTTGTGCTCGCTCTACATCTTTAAAACCGATATTAACTTTAATTTTCACTTCAGTGTTATATTTTTCTGGTCCTTCGGGATCATTGATGCCAGCACTATTAAATGTTGAGAATTGAGTACCGCTCAAACCGTTGTTGTTATTAATGCTTCCGAGGGATGACTTTGTTTCCAGATTTTTTAAGGAAATTAAATCTATTTGGCAGAACTATTACCACACCCATGTGTTATTCATATAATCTGGAGGTAAAATCATACATTGTATTTGCCCATTATGATATATACATATACACACATATAGGGATTTTGAATGAGTCAGTGTAGCACGACGAAGCGTAAAAACCGCGCTCTGCAGATCATTTCAGTAATATTAATATTTCTGCAAAATCGATTTAATTTCCTTAAATCGGGTTTAAAGATGCAAAGCGGGCATAAAATTTTGAAATTCATTCAAAAAGTGCGACCCTAACCTTGACCTATGTTTTTTTTGTTTAATTGGGGTTTACGTCACACCGACAAGTATACATATGGCGACGTTCCAGCTTTACTGCTGGAGGAAGACCTAAGATGCCTTTCTCAAGAGTGACTACTTTAGGCTGCGAGTCGTTATTAAATGTGCTAGTCATAAGTGAAATGACTTCGGTACGAAAAACTGTTCAATTGCTGTGTGTACCAAAACGTGACTAGGGGGCATCCGTTTGGGGACCAAAACAATACTAAACCTTGTATCATAGTTTGAGGACCTTTCCGTTGAAAATGTGTCAGAGAAATCGTATACATATTTATGCACAGTGCGTTAACTAGAGTGCAGGCATTAGTTACCCGCACTCCAGAGCATGCCCATTGATTGGTTCATGTTGTCTGGGGTTTACATATTGTGACGACAGAGACAGGACAGAAATATCGTGCATAGTTTTACACCTACGGTGACACAGGCTGGATATCCAGTCTTTACAGAAGATGGGGTTGTACTCTACGATACTGGAATATACTTTGAATATGGATGACAACAAACTTACTAAATGTATCTTTTACCATTACTGAAATAACTGTAGAAATAATTGGTCAAGTGACGTCAAACAAATATTTAACACCCTAGGCATAGCTGAACTTTTCAGTAATACAACGGCAGTGAACCTCTTTGGAGCGAATGACAAAATACGGGATTATACAGTTTTAAATGGTCATGTGAAATTCAAACATTGCCAAAATTAAGGACATACAAATCATACAAAACTGAATTTGGTTGTGAAGAGAATGTGTGTGGTTCACCTATGTATCGCCCAGTCTTTACTCTTAACGGTAATATAACGCACCTGGACTGACTTAAGAGTGATCGTTCATATGTAATTAAAACACTGTTGAAGATGAGAAATAGTTTTTGCTAAGCTGCGCACTTCATGTTGTGATACGACAAAAAGTGTACAGTGATACAATTAAACAAGTTTGTCATTTGATGATAAACTTGCCTTTTTACTGAATACTCATCCTATGAAAACTATGGAACAGAATTAATGCATTTATTCTTTCTTGCTTGATGACATTGGAACTTGCATTATGCTTAATTCCATCTTGCTTGATGACATTGAAACTTACATTATGCTGGATTCCATCTTGCTTGATGACATTGGAACTTGCAATATGCTTAATTTCATCTTGCTACATGACATTAG